GATATAGCGCTTTGACAGATGATGTAGCTTTCGGTAAAATATACGCTACGCCCTACGTCCAAATTTTCAGAACCAACTTGACCACGTTTTTATTTGAACGCTCGTTATAACAAACCTAACAAATTCATCATCTTCAATAGCAGATTCTAATAAGTAACAGTACCATCTCCATTTAAAAAGATTCTTTTTTGGCCAGAACCTAAAATTTCAAAGAAAAAATATATCAAAAAAGAAAAAGTACCTGCGGTGGCTACCGCGAAACAGTGGCAAATTTATCATCAAAAAAAAGAAGCCGAGAAAAGAAGGAAAAGAAGGCTAGATTAGAAGAGAGAAAAGAGAAAAAGGCACAACGTGAGAAGTTAATGTTGGAGAAAAGTCAGAACAAAATTAAGAATAAGAAAAGGTCAAAGAAAAGAAAAATGAGCTTTAGTTCATTTGAGTCAGAAGAAGAGTGGGTGCCATCAGATACGAGCACAGATGATGTCAGCATTATAACTTCTTCATTAATTGAAGAAAATGATGTCGAAAACAAGTTTAAAGAAGGTGATTATATTCTTGCCTCTTTCCCAGGTAGGAAAATGAATCATAAATATGTATGCGTTATTCAAGAGATCCTACCAGAAAATGAGGCTGAAGTAGTTGGTATGAAACGTTGTTCAGAAGAAGACAAATGGTTTAAATTAAATGAAAGTGACATAAGCGTTATAAAACTTTCTCAAATAATAAAAAAATTAAAATTCCCTACGATGGCTGCCAGTGGAGATAGACTTAAATATAATTTTGGCGAACCTTTAGATGTTGAAGGATAAACTGATAATATCTTGCACGGATTCTGTCCTATATTTTTATTAACTTAATAAATGATTACATATTCATTCCGTGATTTTTTTAGTTTCGTTTCCTTTTAAAATAGGTTTAGGTCTCAGCCTATACAGAAACAACTAAATATTTCTTATACAATAGTTCATTTATTATTTATTTTTGCTTTTATTCTTTTCTATTACATCTGCCATTTACAGGTTGTTAATAGTGTCAAGTACTGAATTTTAGTAAAAACTAACATGTCAACTATTGGAAAAATTACAATATTTTTTTAATAAAAAAACAAAATTATTCTTTGTAGCACTTTCAGAGATATCAATATTCTAAAAAATTCTACAAACTTCAAATAAAACCATATGATTTAAAAAAGTAAGTGTATACATAATTTGAAATTTATTATAAATGAAAATTTTGTCTTTTATTTAAGACCTTATGGGTGTCAACTACTGGTGCTTTTACCTTATATATTTTGCTACATAAAGAACCCTAGTCCCTAGGATAGTCCCTACAAAAATATCAAAAATATATACATATATATTTTTTTATTCGAATTCATCCTGTAGAGTTATTAGCTCTTGATGTTAAGAGTTGAAATCAATTTTTCATTAGTAACTTTTTTTATTTCTCATTAAATTTGTATAATTTTAGAATAGAGCTTGAATAAAAAAAATATACAGTGTGTTTCACTTAAAGTCTGAACACCTCCATATTTAGGATGGCGTTGATCGATTTCCAAAATTCTTTTTTTATGTGGTAGTACTCAAAAAGGCCTACTTTTTCATATCATATTTTTTGACGTGATCTTTTCTAAGGCCTAATATTAAGAAAAAAACCCTTAAAAATAAAAAGCACATTTGGCATTTTTTAAAGAAAGAAATGAATAGCATTTTCGATTTGATCACACCTCAAAACCCTAAATACAAAGTTTCATTATTATAGCTTTTACAGGTGGTCCACAAAATAGGTGCAAACTTTGAAAAATTTCACTCATTGCAGTGTCCTCTATTAACAATGTAAAATATTTTTAAGGTTTTTTTTCATAATTTTAATTAATTTTTCCATGCAGTTTTATTAATTTCACTCATACAGGGTGCTCATAGTAAGACATCAAAATTATATTTTTTTTTTATTATGCCAGAAATGACTTTCACAACAAAATAAAATTTAAATATTACTGTTTTCTATTAGTCCACTGTTTAGTTCATCTCCTCTTATTTCTAATAACTCTCCTCAACTGATGTGGTGTTATTTGTCGACATGCTTGTCTAATTCTATTACATAAATCTTCTGGGGCCTTGTTTTATACAATTTATTTTTCAAAGTTCCCCATAAAAAGAAATCAAGAGGCGTCAAGTCTGGAGCCCTGACGCCCACTCAACTAACGGACTGTTGCGACCTATCTACTTTCGCAGGAAATTTTCTCATTCAACCAGTGACTTACTACTAGATGAATAGGTGCTCCATCTAGTTGAAGGTAGAGGTTCTGTCTTACATGAAGAGGAAGTGCATGTACTAAATCTCAGAAATCATTATTTAAAAAATTCTGAAAAATCTCTGCGTTTAGATTAACGTTAAAAAAGAAGGGCCCGATTATGCGATAACATAAAATCGCGCAAAATATTAATTTTTTTAATTACGTTTTATATCCACTACAGCAGTTGAGGAGAGTTATTAGAAATAAGAGGAGACAAATTAAACAGTGCATACAAAATGTTGTTGGGCTAAATGGTAATATTTAAATATTTCGTTGACAAATTCATTTCTGCTATAATAAAAAATATATATAATTTGGCTTATTGTGAACATCCTGTATGAGTGAAATCAATGAAACTGCATGGATATACCTACGGTTAATAAAATTGTGGAAAAATACCTTGAAAATATTTTTCACTGTTAATACAAGACACTGCAATTAGTGAAATTTTTTAAAAGTTTGCACCTATTTTGTGACCACCCTGTAAAAGCTATAATAATTAAACTTTTATTTAGGGTTTTGAGGTGTGATCAAATCGAAAATGCTATCCATTTCTTTCTTACAAAAATGCCTAATAAGTTTTTTAAAGAAGTTTGGAAATCGTCCAAAGCCATCCTAAATACGGAGGTGTTCCGATTTTAAGTGAAACACACTGTATAAACTTGTTGCATTATTTTTGTTGAATCCGAGGGATTGCCCACCATTTTCTAGTCATCCATAATAATTATCATTGTCAAAATAACAGAATTGGCATTTTTAAATGTTCCTACAACTATTTAAAAGAATATTTTTTTCGTTCCTATTTTCTCCATGTATTTATATTTTAACTCATTCATTTTTTTTTGTTGTATTCAAATTATTTTATTTATTATATCTGACTGTTTCCATCCTTCAATTGATATACAGTGTTCCGTTCATGTTTCAAAAAATCTTGTGTGCAAATTCCTCATGGGAAAATAATAGGGGTAGTTCATGTAACGTTTTTTTCTTGGACACTCTGTTTTCGAGATACAGTGTGTTGCAGTTGTTATTTTCCAAATGGTTTTCCTTAATTGTCTTTAAATCGGCTTAAGATAAAAATGTTAAAATTTGTACACGAGTAAACATCAACTGTGCGTTAACAATAATGTGCAAACGGTTTCTTTCTGAAAAGCAGTATCACCGATACAGGTAATTGAAGGGGTACAATCGAAGAAAAAATATGTTAAAAGTAAAAATTTATTACATTTCTAAATGGTTCTGTAAACTCTAAAGGATACTACAAAAAAAAGGTATACTTGTCGAAATTCAGTAACATGTACTATTTTCGAAAAAAATGAAGTTGAATTTTTTTTGCTCACATAAAGCGGCACAAGTACATTAACAAAATATTAAATTGAAAGAGGACCTTACCATTGAATGAGCTGAGGACATTGAGCTACCAACAGTATTTGCATTTAAGACTATAACTTTAATTTCTTACATATCACATGGAACAGTTAAATTGTAAAACATTTTATTAACTAAAAAAAAATTAAAATTTATTTTAAGTTTCAGTTTGTTGTAAACTAACATTTAAAAAGGTAAATCAAAATAAACAGATTATGGTAATTAATTACCTATTATTTACTAATTTTAGATTTTGTAAACTACTACACTACCATTACTAAAATAAACAATTGTTGAATGAACTGAATTGTTGATGGACATGAATGCTTAAAAAAATTATAAAAACAGAAAAATACTAAGAAACAAACTCGGAGACATACAGAACAAAACAGATGCAAAATTAAATAAATGTGCAAACTCAAAATACTACAGTAGATACTGAAATTGCCCCCCATTTCCTTCTATGCAACTTCATTTTTCTCGAAAATGATACATGCTACCGAATTTCGACAAGTATACCTTTTTTTTGTAACATGGTTTAGAGTTTACAAAACTGTTTAGAAATGTAATAAATTTTTACTTTTAACATATTTTTTTTCGATTGTACCCCTTCAATTAGAAACCGTTTGAGCTTTATTCTTAACGCACAGTTGATGTTTACTCGTGTACAAATTTTGACATTTTTTATCTTTAACCGATTTAAAGATAATTAAGAAAAATCATTTGGAAAGTAATAATTTCAACACACTGTATCTCGAAAACAGGGCGTCTAAGAAAAAAACTTTACATGAACTACCCCTATTATTTTTCCATGAGGAACTTACAAACAAGTTTTTTTGAAACATGAACGGGACACCCTGTATATTTTTGGAAGGCATCGAAACAAATATGAAGAAATAATATAATACCAGAGCTCAAATTGGGTTTTTTTAAGTTGTCTAAAGCTATTAATAACATCAAAAACAGTCAAAAACTGATGCGGTTATAAAATTTAGTCCTCACAAGCAGCGAAAGTCTTTGAAATTTTGTCTTACCAAGTAGACTTGTCATTAATTTTTAATTCTTTTTGTAGGAGACACCATCTACAATGTTCGAACGCAGCGTAAGGTAAAAATTGCAAGGCTAGTTCGTTTACACTCAAATAACATGGAAGACGTTAACGAAGTCTATGCAGGTGATATATTTGCTTTATTTGGAGTTGACTGTGCCAGTGGTGATACTTTCGTAACTGACCCCAAGTCTGAAATATCTCTAGAATCAATCTATGTACCAGACCCTGTTGTATCAATGGCTATTAGCCCCGCAAATTCGAAAGATAGAGATAATTTTTCAAAGGCCATTGCCAGGTTTACCAAAGAAGATCCAACTTTCCATTTTTTCTTTGATAATGATAATAAAGAAACCATTGTATCTGGTATGGGAGAATTGCATTTGGAAATTTATGCTCAAAGAATGGAAAGAGAATATGGTTGTCCTGTGAACTTAGGCAAGCCCAAAGTAGCCTTTAGAGAGACACTCGTTTCACCTTGTGAATTTGATTACTTACATAAAAAACAATCCGGGGGACAAGGGCAATATGCTAGAGTAACAGGAATCTTAGAACCTTTGCCACCAAATAAAAATACACTACTAGAATTCACAGACGAAACTGTTGGTACAAACGTACCTAAACAGTTTATTCCTGGGGTTCGGAAAGGGTATTTGGCCATGGCTGAAAAAGGGTTGTTAGCAGGTCACAAATTGTCAGGATTAAAATTCAGACTTCAAGATGGTGCCCATCACATGGTCGACTCCAGTGAACTTGCATTCTTCCTTGCTGCTCAAGGCGCCATAAAACAAGGTAATTATACTAAATATAGTGTGTCTACAGATGAAATTGAAGAGGGAGGAACATTTTTTTTATTATATGGAATAAAAGTTAAGATTCTGCTAGCGTTCAAATGCACATAATTGTAGTTTTAAGTGGGCCAATGTATGTACAGGGTATTCAATTACTAATAGGCCAAATAAGATTTTGTTGAAAAATGTTGCATTTTCGAGGTACAGGGTGTTAAAATTGAAAATGTTAAAATTATTTTGAGGAATACCTTGGAAACCCCATAAATTATATAGAATTTATCAACGAATTCTAAGTTGGAATTTACATATTCAGAGTTTTCAGCATGAATTTTTAATACATAGAAAAGCCAGTTTATAGATTATAGTATGGTGTTGGAAAAGAAAGAAATTAAAAAAGGAATTGAATGCAGTAAAAATTTTAAAATAATAATCTTTACTAGTATTTATTTATCTGAAAATATTAAATAAAAAAAAATAGTATATTCAGTTGAATTGTACAGAAAAAATCATATAAGTGGTACAAATATTTCTTTGATCTCTCTTATAACAGCCGAAATACTTATAGAAATCAATAGAAATTTTTTTGAAAAATCGATATATGTATTATAATACTATAAATAATTATTAAATTTTGTGTTATATTGATGATAATTTAATTGTGTTTGATATTTGTAATGAAATGAAAAATTTAATGTTATAGCCAATTTATAGTATTATAAAGATCAAGTTTATATGTGAAATGTATTAAATTGTTTAAATTTTGATTTTTTTTATAGTATTCTTAAAATCTATAAAAATTATATTCTGTACTTACCCCAAACAAGCTCTTTTAATATCACACTTAATTTTGATTTTTAGTCTTTAAAGATAACTTTATTTTTTATATAATTTTTTTTAAATTATTCTCAAACTATAATTGAATGATAAAAAAATTTTATCGAGCACTTGAAATCTCAGTAGTTGGTTCAAAAGCTATTGAAATTTATTTAAAAAAAAATTTTGTTTCTTTGTTTTAAAAAAAAAAAATAAGAATGCTTAATTGAGTTTGAACTTTGTGTATTATCCCAACAGTTAACAATTTATAACAATCTTTTCTAGATCCCTATCTACCCTAAGAACTAAATTCTAATTCCTTATTCTATACAATTTTTGGTTATGATTACCTATGCTACACAGGGTGCTTCACTGGGTGTACACGGCGGTGGTCAGGCCGAAGCTACAGTATGGGGCCTTGGTCTAGTGGCCGTGTGTGGACCGGGTGACGGTAGCCAGGAAGTTGGTGAGAATCCAGAGACTTGCCTGCTTAGGTATTACAGGGGCAATGAGGACGACCCCAACGGCCACGTTAGAGGTCCTTCTGGGGCTGCCGAACCTTCCTACATGGATTATGAGGGAGGCGATGGCGGCATACCTTAGGATAAGGGACGCCGGCGGTTGGAGAGCTAAAGGACGCACTGAGGGCCATGCTGCCGTGGCCCTCAGGGCGGAGAGGGACATCCCAATATCCACCATGAGGGTTACGGAAGCAGAGGACCGGCTTAGGTTAGGAAGGAAGTATGTCACCACTTTCCCCTCGAGAGAGCAGTGGAAGCAGGATGGTGATATGTTCTCCCTGGGATCCCTAGTGTGCTATACTGATGGATCTCGGGTAGAAGACGAGTTTTCAGGAGCAGGAATTTATCTGGAAGGCAGTGGCATCCAGGAAAGCTTTTCACTGGGTATGTATGCTACAGTCTTCCAGGCTGAGGTTTTTGCTATTTTGATGGTAGCAAGCAAGGAGGAGGTAAGGAATTGTGCAGAGGAGAAGATTTTTATCTGCTCCGACAATCAGGCCGCGCTCAGAGCGGTTAGCTCCCCGAGGACTAGGTCTGCCCTTGTCCAAGAATGTGGAGACGCTCTAGAGTCATTGGCCAGACGAAAAGAAAGTAGAGTTGGTTTGGGTCCCAGGCCATAGGGGCATCCCTGGTAACGAGAGGGAGGATCAATTAGCTTGTCTTGGGTCCAGGGGACCTGGACAGGGACCTGAACCAATCTTGGGTATCACACGAGGCAGCATTAATGGGGCCCTCAATAAGTGGGCCTATCAAACTTTAGGTCAGGACTCGAGCAGAAATAGAGGATGCAGGCAGGCCCATAGTTTTATACATGGACCTAGCAAATCCAAGACAAGATGGCTGCTGAGCCTCAGTCGAAGAGCCCTGAACCAAATGGTGGGGGTTCTGACAGGCCACTGCAGACTTAGGAGGCTTTTAAGCTTAATAGGAATTGAGGAGGACCCTCTATGCCCGAAATGTGGCAAAGGGGAGGACACCCCTGTCCACCTTCTGGGACAGTTTGCAGCCTTTGGGAAAATAAGACATAAAGTCTTTGATGCTGAAGAGCTGCAAGGGGTTGAGGTGAGAGACCTTCCATGGACCAAAATCCTGGCGTTCATTAGGGTGTTGGGTAGGTTCGAGGAGGGTCAGAGGCAGAGGGTGGTTAGGTGATGGGACGGCGGGGTAGGCAAAAAGGGCCCACTTGTGGCCTAATTGCCAGGCTGAGGCCGCCCCTTTACTACTACTACTACCTATCCTACACTTTGTTGTCTATTTGTCTGTGTTTTCTTACTCGTGATGTCCTTTCTGTCTTCTCCTTCCTTTCCGTTTTTGAACTCTCCTCCAATTTGTCTATTCTTCCTTCTATTTGCTACTCTCCTCCTTAGATTGCTACTCCTGGCCTTTTCCTTTTCTATTTGTCTACGACAATGAAAATAATATTTTAATTACCTGACAGTATTGTAATTTGCTTGGTTTTTCTGTCAGTTTCGATTTAAACCAACTTGCCTCTATGCCGAATAAATTATTTCATATTTCTTGACTCTTCCTGTTTGCTTCTTTCTTATTTGTTTTTAACTGTCCCACACTGTCGCTGTGCTGAATTCTTTGCTGTGCTTTACTCTGCCACTCTTCCTCTCTTCAATACTTGCTCTTTTCTTGTTATTTTATGGGATTCCTTTTTTAATCTTCAGTAATTTTTTTCAATTCTTTTGATTTTCAACTTATTTTAATGGCTCCAATTTTAATATCTTCCAATTTGACTTTTCCTTTCTTAATTCTCCTCTCACTATTTATTTTTCGTCTCCTAGATAACCACTGTTTTCTTTTTCCTTTCACCGCACTCTTATCTCTACTTACAATCATTTTGGATATATCGTATTCAATATCAACCAATCATATACCTTTATTAATTTATACAATTTTACTTTACCAAATTTAATACCTTTTAATTCCTTTTTTTTAACTACATTGCTTTCTTTTATAGACACTTTTGATTCCTCTATACAGATATTTCATTTTACTTTTACTATTATATTACATTGTCAAATTTCATCCCGCTGTCAAATAAATCATCTTCACTATTTTGTCACCATCTATCTAACATGTCATTATTTATTGTATTTCAATTTCTACTTGTTACAGTAGATTATATTGAGAAAACTTTTTTCTACTTTACCGTTAATCTGTGATTCCTGGACTATAGAGTAGGCCCTCCGCAGCACTGACAGCATCTTCTGCAGCGATCTGTAACAGCCTTCATTGAATCCTTCCATATCTTTGATCTCGCAATGCTAATTAGCGTTTCTTCCTACCTTTACTACAAAATAATAAAGGTTGCTCACTGCTACTAGCTAGTGAACACTTGGAATTCACAAAGGGTCCAAATCCTTCATATCTGCTAGACAAAATAGTCTGGGTGAGACAGCGCAACGGGTGGTCGGCCGCTCAACCACATTCCGTAAATTGCCCATAACTTCCACAATTGTTGGAATTTCAATATGAAATTTACACACAATATTAATAAGACCACAAATTTTATGATAGAAAAAAAATGTTTTCTAAGATATTCCCCCTTAAGACTCTCGACACGATCAAACCATAATAAATTTTTAGCACTTATTGACTAAGGATTGCATTTGCTGGATACCCTCATTCAGCAATGTGGATCGGCAAATAAAAAAAGTAACAAAAGTCTATATTGCCGTTTTGTTAGGATCGCTACCGCTCGGTGCGAGCAACTTGCCGGTTAGTCAAACTTGTGGGTGAGTTCGGCATTGAAGGAAAGGAAGGTTAGTGCAGCCATGGGGGACTGTCGTAGGGACCTGGGAGTGGGGGGGATGCCCTCAAGGCAGCTGCCTCTCCCCGCTTCTATGGTGCCTAGTGATGGACGGTCTATGGGGCCTTGGTCTGGTGGCCGTGTGTGGACCGGGTGACGGTAGCCAGGAAGTTGGTGAGAATCCAGAGACTTGCCTGCTTAGGTATCACAGAAACAATGGGGACGACCCCAACGGCCGCGTTAGAGGTCCTTCTGGGGCTGCCGACCCTTCCTACATGGATTATGAGGGAGGCGATGGCGGCATACCTTAAGATAAGGGACGCCGGCGGTTGGAGAGCGAAAGGATGCATTGGGGCCATGCTGCCATGGCCCTCAGGGCGTAGAGGGACATCCCAATGTCCGCCATGAAGGTTACGGAAACAGAGGACCGGCTTAGGTTAGGAAGGAAGTATGTCACCACTTCCCCTCGAGAGAGCAGTGGAAGCAGGATGGTGATATGTTTTCGCCGGGATCCCTAATATGCTATACTGATGGATCTCGGGTAGAAGACGAATTTTCAGGAGCAGGAATTTATCTGGAAGGCAGCGGCATCCAGGAAAGCTTTTCACTGGGTATGTATGCTACAGTCTTCCAGGCCGAGGTTTTTGCTATTTTGATGGTAGCAAGCAAGGAGGAGGTAAGGAATTGTGCAGAGAAGATTTTTATCTGCTCCAACAGTCAGGCCGTGCTCAGAGCGGTTAGCTCCCTGAGGACTAGGTCTGCCCTTGTCCATGAATGTGGAGACGCTCTAGAGCAGGGGTCGGCAAGTAATTTTAGGTGGGGTCCGGATACTTTTAAAAATGTTTAACGAGGTCCAGAAAAAATTTATATTTCTTACAAATTTTCATTTGACCTCAAATTTAATCTGGTCCAAGGGACCTGAACCAATCTTAGGTATCACACGAGGCAGTATTAATGGGGCGCTCAATAAATAGGCCTATCAAACTTTAGGTCAGAATTGGAGGAGAAATAGAAGATGTAGGCAGGCCCATAGTTTTATACATGGACCTAGCAAATCCAAGACGAGATGGCTGCTAAGCCTCAGTCGAAGAGCCCTAAACCAAATGGTGGGGGTTCTGACAGGCCACTGCAGACTTAGGAGGCATTTAAGCTTAATAGGAATTGAGGAGGACCCTCTATGCCCGAAATGTGGCGAAGGGGAGGACACCCTTGTCCACCTTCTGAGACAGTGTGCAGCCTTTGGGAGAATAAGACATAAAGTCTTTGGTGCTGAAGAGTTGCAAGGGGGTTGAGGTGAGAGAGTGGTTAGGTGATGGGACGGTGGGGTAGGCAAAAAGGGCCCACTCGTGGCCTAATTGCCAGGCTGAGGTCACCCCTTTACTACTACTACTACTAGTCAAACTCGTGGCATGTGCTACACCCCTCTCTATACCGCATCTTTAACCCTTTCATTTAATTGACAAAAACAAAAACTTGAAAGAATTTCGCAAGGAAATTAATAAATATAATTTTATAGCACCTATTTTATATCAGCAAATTCCACTGCTTTTACCACTATTGTTATTATTAATTAATAAAATTAATTTGTGGTTGTAATTAATAAAATAATTTGACATACCNGCAATGCTAATTAGCGTTTCTTCCTACCTTTACTACAAAATAATAAAGGTTGCTCACTGCTACTAGCTAGTGAACACTTGGAATTCACAAAGGGTCCAAACCTTCCATACCTGCTAAACCTAGACAAAATAGTCTGGGTGAGACAGCGCAACGGGTGGTCGGCCGCTCAACCACATTCCGTAAATTGCCCGTAACTTCCACAATTGTTGGAATTTCAATATGAAATTTACACACAATATTAATAAGACCACAAACTTTATGATAGAAAAAAAATGTTTTCTAAGATATTCCCCCTTAAGTCTCTTGACACAATCAAACCATAATAAATTTTTAGTACATATTGGCTAAGGATTGCATTTGCTGGATACCTCATTCAGCAATGTGGATCGGCAAATAAAAAATTTCTAAATACTCGCGCTCGAACGGAACAAAAGTTTATATTAGTTAGTCAAACTCGTGAGTGAGTTCGGCATTGAAGGAAAGGAAGGTTAGTGCAGCCATGGGGGACTGTCGTAGGGACCTGGGAGAGGGGGGGGATGCCCTCAAGGCAGCTGCCTCTCCCCACTTCTATGGTGCCTAGTGATGAACGATCTCCTGGAACGCCTAACCTTGAAGGGATACAGTGATGCCCAGGCTTATGTCAATGATGGCGTGGTTCTAGTCGCGGGCCGGTTTTTGGAAGTGGTATGCGACAGAATGCAGGGAGCCTGTAGGATCATAGAGAGGTGATGCGAACAGATGGGGCTCTCAGTCAACTCAAAGAAGACAGAGATGATCCTATTTACAAGGAGAAGGAAGATAGGTGATTTCAGGGCTCCAACCATGTATGGGAGGCCCCTGACTTTGGTCAGGGAAGTCAAATACTTGGGGGTAATCCTGGACAGCAAACTGTCATGGAGGCCACAGGTTGAGAGGATTACCCGGAAATCAGTGGCAACCCTCTGGCAGTTAAGGAAGGTAGTTGGCAAAAACTGGGGACTCAATCCAAGGGTGCTTCACTGGGTGTACACGGCGGTGGTCAGGCCGAGGCTGCAGTATGGGGCCCTGGTCTGGTGGCCGTGTGTGGACCGGGTGATGGTAGCCAGGAAGTTGGTGAGAATCCAGAGACTTGCCTGCTTAGGTATCACAGGGACAATGAGGACAACCCCAACGGCCGCGTTAGAGGTCCTTCTGGGGCTGCCGACCCTTCCTACATGGATTATGAAGGAGGCGATGACGGCATACCTTAGGATAAGGGACGCCGGCGGTTGGAGAGCGAAAGGACGCAAGACCAGGGCGGAGAGGGACATCCCAATGTCCGCCATGAAGGTTACGGAAGCAGAGGACCGGCTTAGATTAAGAAGGAAGTATGTCACCACTTTCCCCTCGAGAGAGCATTGGAAGCAGGATGGTGATATGTTCTCCCCGGGATCCCTAATATGCTATACTGATGGATCTCGGGTAGAAGACGAGATTTCAGGAGCAAGAATTTATCTGGAAGGCAGCGGCGTCCAGGAAAGCTTTTCACTGGGTATGTATGCTACAGTCTCCCAGGCTGAGGTTTTTGCTATTTTGATGGTAGCAAGCAAGGAGGAGGTAAGGAATTGTGCAGAGAAGATTTTTATCTGCTCCGACAGTCAGGCCGTGCTCAGAGCGATTAGCGCCCCGAGGACTAGGTCTGCCCTTGTCCAGGAATGTGGAGACGCTCTAGAATCATTGGCCAGACGAAGAGAAGTAGAGTTGGTTTGGGTCCCAGGCCATATGGGTATCCCTGGTAACGAGAGGGCGAATCAATTAGCTCGTCTTGGGTCCAGGGGACCTGGACAGGGACTTGAACCAATCTTAGGTATCACACGAGGCAGTATTAGTGGGGCCCTCAATAAATGGGCCTATCAAACTTTAGGTCAGAATTGGAGGAGAAATAGAGGATGTAGGCAGGCACATAGTTTTATACATGGACCTAGCAAATCCAAGACGAGATGGCTGCTAAGCCTCAGTCGATGAGCCCTAAACCAAATGGTGGGGGTTCTGACAGGCCACTGCAGACTTAGGAGGCATTTAAGCTTAATAGGAATTGAGGCAGAGAGTGGTTAGGTGATGGGACGGTGGGGTAGGCAAAAAGGGCCCACTCGTGGCCTAATTGTCAGGCTGAGGCCGCCCCTTTACTACTACTACTACTCAAACTCGTGGCATGTACTACACCCTTCTCTATACCACATCTCTAACCCTTTCATTTAATTGATAAAAACAAACAAAAACTTGAAAGAAATTCGCAAGGAAATTAATAAATAGAATTTTATAGCACCTATTTTATATCAGCAAATTCAACTGCTTTTGCCACTATTGTTATTATTAATTAATATAATTAATTTGTGGTTGTAATTAATAAAATAATTTGACATACCTGATGTTACAGCAACTGTTTGTCCACTGACGTGTAAACACATTTGGGCCCGTCTTACTCAGTTTCTATGAACTAATACAAAGGTTGTCTTGCTTCACCATAAATTAAAACGAGTTGTTTCAACTCCGAGTTGCTATACACGTAAGCCATTTTTGACACTTGAAAAACTAATGTAAACACTATCGCAAATACTAAAATCGGATTTCAGTATTCGGAGTTGCTGAGGCCATGTGGCTCTCCACGCGTATTGCAAATGACTAGAGACTACAGCTGTCCAGCGATGTAATGGTTGAAAGCACTACAACTTCAATAATTTTTTTCTCAGAAACTAAGGATTTTACAAAAATTTCTTTACGATTTACGAAAATTAGTTACCTTTAATATTGTACAATTTATAGATTACATTACAGTACATTATACTAATTAAACATTTAAACTTCATTGTCTCGATCTCAGGTGCTAAACCAAATCAAAGTTAAGTTTATTGCCTATATGTTTACGAAGTTTTATTGATTTGTAACGGACTAGTTAAAAAAATAAGTTTTGAGTATTTTTTGAAAAAATTTTTTAGTTTCTTCAAAAAATGGACAAAATGCTGGATCCATGGTGGATCCAACTGGAATTGTGTTGGTATAGCAAAAATCCATCCGGATCGAAAACGCTGATCGATTGCAATCCCTAATGTTGACTTTTTTCAAATATTTGTATACTTTTGAACATGACACTTTTTAAGTATTTTCCTTCACTTCTTCCCTCTTTCCAACTCTAGATAGATATCTGTTAATATACAGTACAGTATTTTAGGGAATTATATTTACAGCTAATTTTTATTATTTTTTTTGTGTTAATTATTGTGTTTCCTTTCAGTATTTGAAAATGGTGCCTGGCAAATTCTAGAACCTATCATGTCTGTTGAAGTTACAACCCCTGATGAATTTCAAGGAGCTGTCATGGCGCAACTGAACAAAAGGCACGGTATAGTAACTGGCACTGAAGGTACCGAAGGTTGGGTAACGATCCACGCGGAAGTTCCTTTGAACGACATGTTTGGATATGTCGGGGAACTAAGATCATTTACCCAAGGAAAAGGTGAATATAGCATGGAATATAGCAAGTATATTCCTTGTTTGCCTGAAGTTCAGGAGAAACTAATTCAAGATTATCAAAAATCGATGGGTCTTTTGCCTGAAAAAGATAAGAAGAAGAAGAGGAATTAATTTATTCTAAACTTAGGAATTTAATTTTATTTAAAAAAATGTATATACATTAGAAAGTTTAAGTTTATTATAATGGTTTTATATAATAACGAACAACTCAAATTCTTTTCCTTTTGTCTAGTAACTGCTGCAACACCTGTCTTTCAGATTCATCATTGTCGTCGATTATTATTGCTGTGTGAATCTTGATATTTTCTCCGATTGCTATGTCATCAGTTAATCCATATCCTGACTTGAAAAACTTGTACACTTCATATGGAAATTTTCTTTTTGAATTAGGCTCTGAAATAATGAGAAAACAATATAATCAGGATGTCTAAATGTTGATCTAAAAGATCTGACATTTCCAGATTTTCCAGGTAGATTAAAGGCAACAATTTTCATTTTTCAATAATTGCCATTTCCAATTTTTTTCAATATCTTCCATGTAAATGTTTAACAAAATTTGATAATTTCATAAATTATACGGTGACCATTAGAGAATATTTTTATTTATGAATTAAAAAATATTTCTCATGTCTGCTTGTAACAAGCCAAGTGATTGTGATCTCCAAACAACTTGGGAATGCATACAACACACTAACGACAACACTGGTTTTCAATCAAAACTAAAAAGTTAAAATGCCAGAGAGCTTTTTATCAATTTTCAACCAGTAAAAATATATACAGGGTGTCGTGCTTAAATATGATAAAAGCCTGTAACTTCTTTATTTTTTTGGCCTATTTCAAAAATTTTTATTTGGAAATGTAAGGTAAAAAAACTCTAACTGTGATACTGCCGTTTTTATTAATGCAATTCACGGCCAACTAGGACGCGTTTTCTTGACATCAAAATAGTTGATTGGTATTAGCGATTTTTTTTCCCAAAAACAGATTATGTATTCTTATTCAGCATCGATTAAAACGTCTTACCAAGTTTCATCAAAATCGATAATACATCTTCAGGCGAGCACTTCATGATGTCGTGATACATTTCACGACATACAAGCCTGTAACCTCTTTATTTTTTGGCTGATTAAACAATTTTTTTTTTATGAAATGTAGGGTAAAAAAACTATCTGACTGTGATACTGCTGTTTTTTATTAATGCAATACATGCCCAACTAGTACTCGTCTGAAGATGTATCGAATTTGATGAAACATGGTGATAAGACATTTTAAGGGATGCTGAATGAGAATACCAATTAGCTGCTTTGACATCAAAAAAACACGTCTTACTTGGCCGTGAATTGCATTAATAAAAACAGCAGCATTATATTAGATAGTTTTTATTATCCTACATTCTAAAGAAAAACAAAATTAAATTGGTCAAAAAACCAAGAAGCTACAGGCTTGTATCACATTTAAGTGCGACACCAGTTCTTGTTGAACATTTACAACATTTAAACCGTTAAAAGTATCCTATTAGTGCTCTTAATTTGTTTTAGCTTTCATAAAGAATAAACATTCATATCATTAATATTTGGTAAATTTTGCAAAAAAAATAACGATGTATAGCGTCTGATAGAAAAAAAATCAAAAAAAAGTGGACCTAGTTAGTTTTTTTTTGAAATTAAGATATTTTATACTTAACTCTAGAATTATCAATAGGTTGAGTAATGTATTCTGCCAATGTTCAATAAGGTTTCTCGACGCCCCTTCTGTAGAAATCCTCCATATTCGACTCGAAAAACTCATCCAACCTAGCTTTTAACTTATTGTCATTGTTAAAAGAAACACCGCATAAGGAGATTGACAAAGAGTGGAAAAGGTGAAAAACAAAAGAAGAGAGATCAGGAGAGTAAGCGGGTGGGGAAGGACTTCCAAATTCAACTCTCGAATGGCCAATATGTGGTCGCGTATTGTCATGTTGCAAAAGAACAACATATCGACGATCAGATCTTTTTTGTTGAATGAAGTTACAATAGTTATTGGACATAGAATTGTGCGTTGGCGGTTTGATTGTTAGGTAAGAGCCCCTAATAAAGAATGCCTTTCCAATCCCACGAGATGCATAACATTGTCTTTCGTGGATGAAGTTCTGGTCTTATTCGCGGAGTTGCTTATTTTTTGGGGCTTAACCATTCTTTCCGCTGTTTCATGTTCATGTACAGACACCATATTTATTTAATCACCAGTGACAATACGATGAAGAAAACGTTCCTTATGACTATGCGTTGATTTATGATAGAGCAAACCAGCGAAATGTGTGAATTTTAAAAAAATTTAAAAATTTTGAATAAAATTGTGAAATAAAAAGTAGGGATAGCCTCCTCCAAATATTGAAAACAGTTGAGGTAAGTTCATGCAGTAGCGATTTGCGAATTGTGATTTGCAGATTTCAATTTGATTGGTTAAAATAAATATTTTTGACATCAATTTCTTCATTTCAATTTATTGCCAGAATCGCATAATTTAAATATAGGGGACGGGAAAATAGAAACGGTTTCTATTTTTTGCGATTATCGTAATAATTTCAACAAACTGCGTATGTGCAGTCCGTCCAGTTTCTTCATTTATACGTTTGCAACACAGGTACGTCAAATTAAAAAATAAGTCAACCCCACTTTTTTCAACGTTCAATTATTTAAAACTTGTCAAGTATTTACAATATTCATCAATACAAAAATGGACAGTGACATTGAAGAGCAAAGCCTTCTACCCACTTGACAACAAATAACATAATGATAATCACTGTTATTGATCACATCATTCATGGTTGCAAAATGTTTATTTATGAATGAATGTCTTGTCTAATGTTCTGCGTATGTAATCACAAAAATATTTTGTGAGTTTAGGTTATGTTGTTTAATTTTGTTTACTGTGGCCCAAGAATCTATAAAATTCCTGACTGCGACCTGTGGCATGACATGGCAAGGCAAGTAACACAAGAAATTTAAAACTAACTAGTATTCGCATATGTGCATGAACAAATGTTGAATTTTTGTCGCATAAACCGTAAAATCGTTAATCGCAACTTGAAAATCATTACTGCATGAACACACAGGTGTTCACTTATTTTTCACAAAATTTTAATGCAACAGCATTATATAATTTCAAAAATGGAATCTTAGTATCAAACTAAAATTGAAAAAGATGTAACTATGAAGAAAAAGAAACAAAAAATATCTGAGATTATTCATCATCTGTCGCTCAAGTTGATCAGTTGCAACCCTTTTGGAGATTTTAAGCCCGTATCAGACAGTAAAATTTTGTTGCAGGGATTTGGTTGCCGTTATAGAATCCATGAATTTTTTATTATCAGACTATATGCAATTCTGTCGAGGCAACTGAATTACATGAATTAGAACATACTCTACTCCGTGCAACAAAATTGCATGGATTCTAGTTACTTTTATGGTGATTTGTTTTTATTACCAACCTAGCTGTTGTTGGCTGTTGGTCATGGCTGCTGTTAGTAACACCATTGAAACCACTATTAAAGCTATACAACAATTTACTTTTAAATTTTCATCCATTGCAATGTTTTGCTTGAATAAAAAATAATTGTTTACAAGATACTTACAAGAAATTTTACATGTTAAACAATGCACAGTTGGTAACACTACTGCAAACTAAACAAACTTCAGCAATTTTGCCCCATTGTATGATAATAAGCTAGCAATTTTATTCCCGCAACAAAATCCCCGCAATTTTGTCACTGTAACTAAATTGCATTGTTTGATACAAGCTTTAGGGAGTCTACCCTAACTTCAAATTTTTATTTTAAAAATTTCGTTCAAAATTCTTTTTTGAAAATTCTCTATATGGTCATAGATATTATCCCTTAAAACATGGTATAGATCCAAAGTTAGATCACCATTTTTGTTTCCTTAAAATTTTTGAAACTTTTAGAAAATAGTTGCAAATTGGTACAGATACATACATCCGTATATCTCCATATCAACAGTATAAATTTATTTAGAACTTTAACTTACGTTTTACTGCATGTATATAATGTCCTGTATTTATGAACCTAATTCCATCTTCCTCTAGAACACATGTTGTATCTGATTCTCCTGAAATTGAGACTTTTTTATTTAAACGAATATCAACTAATTAAATTAATACTACCTGTACGCATTTTATTTTTCTCTTGTTTATGTACAAGACAGCTATCTTTTTGAAAACCTGAAAAATACCAAGTTTCATAAGAATTATGCTAATTTACAAGGAATATTTTAATAGAAAAAAAATATTCACATTAATCTAATTTAAATACTAGTTCTGTGAATGAATTTTGAGGGATTTACCCTTCAACTTGTAGTACTATATCGCATCGGACACTTCTGTAACTATATTCATGTCAAAGCTCTGACATTAAGCATTACTTTTTATTCATTTTGCTGAAGTGTAAACAACATATTTTTTCTCAGCTCCGAAGATGTCAAATTAGGAGCCAACAAAACACCATTTGCGGAAAGTTTTACATTTCCTGTTTAATTCAAAGAAAAGTGATGCTGAAAGTTATTGAGTGCTGTTGGAAAGTTACGGTGAATATAAGTACTACATCGATAAAAATGTGTGAGTATTGGTTTCGACATTTTAAAAGTCGCGATTTCGATACAGTTGACCAAGAACACCCTGATCAACCGAAAAAGTTTGAAGATGAGGATTAATCGACTAAGATTCATGTCAAATGCAAGATGAAAAATGAGAGATGTTGAATGGCAATTTTTCACATCTGAACAATTGCTTCAATGGCAAAAAAGAAAGGGTTTTTTTGCATCGTATCGTCACTAATGTTGAAAAATTGATATGCTATGATAATCCTAAGCGTAGAAAATTGATAGGTTTGCATGGTCATGCATCAACATCGACAGCATGGCTGAATATTCATGGTTCGAAGCTCATGCTCTGTATTTTGTGGGATCAGTTGGATCAAATGGTGGATATCATTAAAAGATGAGTTGTTCTTTTGATATAGAATCCATATGCTGGCAGAATGATGGGAAAAAGTAGTGGCTAATGATGGACAATACTACTACTACAAAAAATAATAATGTACATCATTTTACACGTCAAAACTTTGAATTTCCAAAAAAATCCCACAAAATTAATTCACAGTTCTAGTATAAATATTAAATTTTTTGATGATGAAGGCTTGTTCTGAAATTAAAATCTTTTGCTTAACAAAGGCCTTATAAGTATAACATATGTCATTATCATAAGTGTTTAATCAATGTGTTTGAGGTTTCCTATTAATTTCATTTTTTGAAAAGGATACCACTTTAAGAAGCTATCTTTTATATACAGAAATACATTAATTAATATGTTGTGATATATTTCATGTTAATTTTTGTCCAAAGCGACCGGCCGTAGTTAAAAACAAATTTGAATTTTGGTACAACAGGTAAGACATTACATTAGAAAAATTTGAATAGGGTACTTTTAAATTCAGATCATTATTTATTAGCTTATTTCTAGTTTCAATAGTTTATTTTGTGTCAAATGGAATATATAGCTTCATTTGAATAATAGTCAAAATAACAGTTAATAAATACATCATTATCATCTAACCCAGATTTTAGGATATACTTTTACATTCTCGTAAAAAAATATTAATTATTTACAATTTTTCCTAAAAAAAAAAATACTTCTCTTTAATTTCAAAATCTGTTTTATTGTTATATTTAGCATTCAATGAGCATTTTAAAATTAATTAGAAAAATATGTATTTTTAGATATAAAAATAATTATACATAGATAAGGTAAATTACTCAAATATTTCTCTATTTATTCGAATAAACATCCCATTTTTTCTTAATTTCTGTCAAATTTGCATAAAAATATTTAATACATATTTTCTAATTTTTTTAATTTTAATTTTCTACAAAATAAAAAAGGAAATACAAAACACTTAATTTTGAATTACCATATCAGATAACGCAATTTGTGAAAGTTTGGATTAGAACTTCTACTCTAACAATTGTAAAGACAAATACACAATCGATTCTATAATTCTGACAAACATAAACATTTCTACTACATCAGTATTACAAATTGATAAAAAAATATGTAACTTTTCTAAAGGAAATTCAGCTGATGGCAGCATCGAAAAATAAAACCATATTTCCCATTTTCAGACCAATGGGTCTTTGAGACCTCATGCTAACTTTGAAAAATTAGTTTTAAAAATTTCCTGTAGTTAGGTGTAACTATTATTAGTAGAGTGAGACTCTTGTGTTGACATCCTATTGCAATTAAATCTAATGTAGTAGATTTATACTGCCTATAGTCATATTCGATGCAAAGTAATAAATCATTGCCTGTCAAGGGATCCAGTGCAGTACGGTTTTAAAGGGTTTAGAAATTGAATAATTTCTTTACGCATTATGATGGGATGAAAGGATCAGTTCACGTCTAGCAACTCTGTTCCTACAAAAATTCCTTTATTCTCATAAACTATCTATTTTAAATGTAATTTATTATAAATCCCATTTAATTTTTTAAATTCCGCATATGTACATTTTACCTCTGTACGTGCCACTGTTGTTTACTTGTTTCTTGAAGGTGGTTTTTGATTCACGACCAAACTCGCCAGATTAGTATTTGACGTATAACAAACAACTTCGTACACTCGATGCACCTAGACGACTACAGTTACTACCAGGACACAATCTGTATGATGCGGTATTTCAGATTTCACATTCAATTTCATTTTAAATTTGAATTAATTTAGACTTAAACTCATTATTAAATATCTCTGCTGCTCATATATAGAATATGATACTGCACATTTAAAATAACTGCAAATTGTGTAGAATCTGTAGAGAATGCATAAACACTGTGTAATATAATTATATACGGGAAGTGAAGTAATATCACGAAATACCAACAAACAAATGTCGCCGAACAGCACTGAACATGTGCACAACCTGGCTGCTGTCGAAAATTCAACATTGTGATTTCAGTTTAAAATGACAAAAAATTTTGGCACATGAAAAACTAAGTATACTTGACCGAAATCGGTGACTTATACTTAAACAGCTTCCCATTACTATTGGCTGTTGTTGGTACCCCTATTTTCGCAACATAAGAAATAAAAAAAGAAACTTACGGCTGTCAGTTTTGTCCATATATTTTTGTATCCTGGTTTTGTAATATTCTGAAGTCACAAACCACGAAATATCAGCTGAAACAAATATAATTTTAAAAAATTTGGGACAATAGAGAAGTCATTTATGAGAAATAATCAATCAATAATATACCTACTGCTCATAAAAGATTCTTAAATTAACCTTTAACAAAATGTTACCTGATAGAAATTTAGTCGGTACAGCTTCTTTACTTAAATTAGCTACTTTTCCATCCTTCATATAAAACTGTGGTTCAAAATGCTTCATACAAACCATATACTTTTCATATACCTCCTTAGGAGAAAGATCTTTCAGTGCCGCATTGTCTATCAGTTGAAGCCAAATATCAAATCTTTCAGGATCTTCCGATGGATTAGGGAATTTTCCTTTGCCGGGCGTTAATCCATAATTATTTGGGCAAGTACTTACTGCACAATAAATTACTTTCAAAGGGTCCATCTGAAAATGAACGTATACATTAAAAAAAAATAATGCAGAAATTATGAAATGCAATAATTAAATGAAACATGAACTTGAACCTTGAACCAGATTATTTATTTTTACCTGTGAAGTTCTCATTGGTGCACTGTTTACTCTTCTATTTGAATTTTCGTCTCCTAGAACAATTAACCACACAAACATGTAGCACACATTATAATGGAAAATAAATAAATATATTTTTACTAAATATGAAGTAAAAAAAATCGACACAAACTTGATTTGTTGATATATAGCCCAGTCATTATAATCATCAAAGAGCCTGTTTCGGGAAAAAAATACTATTAGAAGTTTCTCTGCGGAATATTGTTCGGAAATCTGTTATAAATAAAATATCAAAAAATCAACTCGAGGTTAGTTGGGAAACTTTGTTTTAACAGTGGTCAAAGTTATGGAAAAGTGGTTTTTTGACTCACGTAAAAAACTATTATTGATAGCGAAAAAAAGTTTATACAAAAAAGGTAGGTATTAAATAAGCCTATAAAATGAGAAAAGTCCGATTAAATTCCGATAATTTGTTTATGCACAAGAGCTCAAAAATGGTCGAAAATTGCCGTTTTTTTCAATTGTTAATAATTAATGCAATTTTCATCGCAGACACTTGTAATTCAGGATTCTTGAGGCTTTTTACACCCTTAACAAGTGGTAAAAATTTCAGCCCGAAAGCTCCATTGGTTTGGCATTGGCGGAATTCGTTATCTAAGATGCTATTTTCAATTCATTTTTCCCAAGCTCACAGGCATTGTAGAGTTTCGATTATTAGTTGTTTTTGTATCTAAATAGTTGTATTGACATATGCATTTACTGAGAATTTAATTTTTCAAAATTAATTTGTTTAAAAATGACTGAAAAAATGTTAATATTTATTAAATTGTTAAGATAGGTAATTATTATAGAATAAAATAGTAACCTCTATACTTTAGTTTTCTTCGAATTTTAAAAAAAAATCGTAAGTTGATTAGAAGCTGAGATAATTTTTTTTTTTATTTAATCGCAGTGACCTTAATTATTAATATTAAGAGCCGAAATTTGGAGAGAATATATATTAAGAGCTATATTTTCATGTCCTGCATTAACATTAAGATTAATTCAACTATTTAATTGCGAAAAAGAAGATAGCGGCGAAGCGTTCTATTACTTGGTCTAGCGAACGAGTGGGGAGAACGAGACGGACCATGCGCGCATATCAATTTAATAAATATTAACATTTTTTCAGTAATTTATAAACAAATTAAATTTGAAAAATTAAATTGTCAGTAAATGTATATGTCAATACAACTATTTAGGTATAAAAACAACTAATGATCGAAACCCTACAACGCCTGTGAGCTTGGGAAAAATGAATAGAAAATAGCATCTTCTTAGATAACAAATTCCGCCAACGCCAAGCTAATGAAGGTTTTGGGATGAAATTTTTACTACTTATTAAGGGTGCAAAAAGCCTCAAAAATCCTGAATTACAACTGTCTGCAATGAATATTGCATTAATTATTAGCAATTGAAAAAAGTGGACAATTTCGACCATTTTTGAGCTCTTGCACATAAACAAATTATCGGAATTTAATTGGACTTGTCTTATTTTACAGATTTATTTAATACCTACCTTTTTTGTATAAACCTTTTTTCTCTATGAATAACAGTTTTTTTACGCGAGTCAAAAAACCACTTTTCCATAATTTTGACCATTGTTTTAACAAAGTTTCCCAACTAGTCTCGAGTTGATTTTTTGATATTTT